TGAAACTATTTTTGAACATGCTGTTTCAGCTGATCAATCAAAAAGTGTCCCAGAACTAACAGACTGTGTAGAATCATGCACAAAATAATTTCAGACCCTGTAGAATCACCGGAGCTCTGGTACATGTTGATATCACAGATCCTACGGAGAAAGCTCTGTTCCAAGCCCAGGCGGCCAATGACTGGGAGACCATACTTCTGGCTAGAGCTAAGGAGTTGAGATCAGGTATCAGTTATATGCATAAGATATGTAATATGGTAACTGGTACATTCCATTCCAAAGTTAACATGTATTCATTGTGACCGTTGAATTTTTCTTGCTGTATTCCACATCTTCCGCTTCTTTCGTTTTTCAAAACGTTTTTGTTTATCATTATCTTGTATTTTCTTAGTTAGTTTATTAATCTTCCTTACTGATTAATTCAAAACACTTATATTTTTGTGTATTACTTGGCATCAGGTGGCAGGATTGTAATCATAAGTGATTGTTTAGAGAAGGAAGGACAATATCCAGGGACCACCAAAAATATCAAGGAGAGCGTGGTCCACAGTTTAACCAACTACTGGAAGGAAATGGTCACTGAGGGAGAGATCACACAGGTAGGAAAACATAACTGTAACAAGTAGTAGAAGGTGGTGGTCACTGAGAGAGAGATCACACAGGTACGGGAACATAACTTTAACAGGTACTGGAAACAGATGGTTACAGAGGGAGAGATCAATTTCAGATGAATAGCCAATGAGAAGGACAAGAATGGCTATGTATTGACACTGTGGAGAGTGATTGGGATATGTTATCCTTAATGTGTGTAGGAGCAGACCAATGAATGATTTTTTGTGAAGATAGCGGGAAGAACTCAAATGGCAAATTCCCGATTTTGTTTTTTGGACTATTTTGGCAATGGGATGCTGTGTTGGCTATTGATCTAAAATGGTGTGTGCCAAATGTATTTTCAAAATGGACAATGAAGTTTAATTGCATGGGCGATATTTAGTAATGAAAAAGTTTGGATCGAAGTAAATATGATATAAGGTGTCCAATTTTTACTTTAGTGATCCCAACCACATGGGAAGTAAAGAGTTTTGACGTTTTTGTCATTTAGAAAAAGTAATCTTTCTAATTACAAATGTCACTCTTTTCTACAGGAAGAATTTGACAACACAAACTTCAACCTGTACTTCAGAACCACAGAGGAATACAGGGCTCCTTTTTGTGACCCGAACTCTGCTGTGTCCAAAAGTGGGCTAAAGTTGCTGGCCATTGAAACAAAAGCGGTGCGTTGTCCATTTCACGAGAAATGGACCAAGATCGGAAAGAATGGTAAGTTTGTGCATGTCTATCCACTCTACCCATTCTATCTACGTTGTTTTTAATATAGCTAGCTTTATGCAAGTCGACTATTACCAGACTTTGACCATGAATATCGTCAAAGAGTTTCCAGAGTCGAAAGTATATATTATTGATATCAAAAATCTCTTGGCGATAGAGGCAGGGGCTATCGTTTTAATTAGTGCCGCCAGCGTGTACGCTGGCGGTACTTATGGTTTTAGTCCGGACGCACACCGTTAAAGTTTCGCCTCCTAGACCACAAGGACCTGTGTCCCCATCTCTTGGATTTAGGTCATATATAATCTCATTTGTGAAGCATTCCTTGTTAATGTAATTAACCATAGATTTGTATGTTCTAGGCGACCCAGAAGCAGCAGCCAATCATGCCAAGCGGTATATCCAATCCCTCCGATCCTGGAGCAACTTCACCTTCCTCTCAGGTCTAGATAATTCTCGCTCAGAGGAGGAAAAATCCGCCACTGTGGATAAGTTCTTTCTAAAGTACGAGAGAGCAGTGGCATCAGCCCCAGAGGATCATGGGATGGATTTTATTAGCGCTTGTATAGACATAGGAAAAATGTAAAACGGTGGTTGTGCTAAGGAGGATTTAAAAGGATACAAATATAAAGCCGAAGAATGCGAATTTTTACCTAAATATGAATGTTACCGGTGTAACATGAAAATCTGACTCCCCCAGTCAATATTCATAATGAAAATCTGACTCCCCCCATGAAATTTAAACTTCCCCTCTCCCCCCTCACAAAACTTTATAAATCTTATTTTATTTGAGTTTTTAAATTTTATCTTGCATAATGGAGGATACATTTTCATGAGGAAATTAGAAAATTAAAAATGTGTTTGTTTTCCACCCAGTGACTCCTATGAAAATGCTATGGGAGTCTAAATCCTACAGGTAGTAAGATGAAAACTAGTTTAAAAAATTATCAATTTTCACCACCCAACTTTCAAATACTACCAAAATATACATCACAATGCAAACCATGTGGAAAACAATGATATGGTGACTAAATATAAAATAGGGTTTTTTCTTCATGGGGGTCGAAATCCCATGGGTATGAATATAAAGATTTTTCGTGTCCTTTTTTCCATTTTTTTTTTTTTTTGCACCCAATATTTTACCACCAAACTTTCAAATATTTCCAATATATATTTTTTCATAAAGTATACTTAAAAGAAAGATGTGGAAATGATCACCAAATATCACATAAATAGCTTATTCATAGGGGAGTCATTGGGTGGTAAAATATACATTTTTAATTTTCTTATTTTCTCATAAAATTTTCACCTGCAAACTAAAAAAGTGCCAATGTATCATCCATATTGCATACTACAATATAAAAGTTTTATACTCAAATAAAATAAGATTTATTAAGTTTTGTCGGGGGAGTCAAAATTTCATGGGGGGAGTGACATTTTCATAATGAAAATCTGACTGGGGAGTCACATTTTGAGGGAGTCGAATTTTCATGGTACACCGGGTTAGGAAAATCGCATGGTTTTGTTTCGTATCGCTTGCCGTACATTTTTTGGGAAGGGGCAGAAGGTAGTACTGCAGAAGCTAAAAAAGGGTTTGCTTGCCAGTCATTGGACTCGCTGTTTATTATTGTACCACCAGCGTTAGCGCTGGCGGTACACATGGTTTTAGTCCCGTCCGGATCGTTCCGCCGGCTCCTGCAGCTCCTGCGGCTCCGCCGGCTCCGCCGGCTCTGCCGGACGGCTATCGTTACCGCTTCTCCTCCTAGACGGTAAGGCCCCCCGTACCCATCTCTTGGATTTAGGTCACCTATAATCTCAACTCGTTCCACGTAAAATTTGGGCTTTGTCGGTATTGGGGTCTAGGTGTGGCACTCATTGCAATGCACCCTTATCTAAAAATGGCAAAATTAAATGCTAATTATCTACCCTACGGAAGGAATTGTGGGAAAAATTTCTATTGACGGCTTTCCAAAAGTCATATGTGTAGATTTCAAATATGCCATTGGATTTGATCTTTGACCTTTATTTCAAGGTCAAACGGGCCAAAATTTTCAAAAAAATGAATTTTTTTACGAAAAAAAAAATTATTTGCCCTGTTATTCAGACACCACATAGACCTAACCAATAATATTATTGGAAAGGGTCCCCTTCAGGTCATCTTTCATCTCCGTGAATTTGAGGTCAATCGGTGCACATTCACGGGAGTAGCGGCCATAAGATACCGAAACTGAAAACTGTCTCTAATTCGGGAACCGTTAATGCTAGAGAGCCATTCTTTTTTGCATTTTGTAGAGCATGTAAAGCCCAACACTGGAAGTGGTCTCCGTTTTTTTTTTGTATTCCATACGGTTTTCGAGTTATGCTGTATCAAAAAGTACATATTGGTGGTGAAAGAAAAATGTGCAGTACGGTAATGGATAATAAATTTTGAACTCCGGAAAAATAAAACATAAGGCTTGGCAAAGCAGACAACTTGTGGTCAAAAATGACATTATTTCATCAAATTTGAACTTCTGGAACTTCAGAGCACCTCCCATTTCAAGAATTTTGACCAAAATGACCTTTTCTTTATTTTGATTTATTTTTTCTGTAGGAAATTTATGGCACATTATGGTAACCCCAAAATTATAACATTTAGTCCCTTATATCTCCAAAACTGGCAGAGATAGGTCCATAGTNTATTATTTGCGCTGTTATTCAGACACCACACAGACTTAACCAATAATATTATTGGAAAGTGTTACCCTTCAGGTCATCTTTCATCTCTGTGAATTTGGGATCAGTCAGTGCATTTTCACGGTATTAGCGGCCATAAGATTCTGAAACTGAAAACTGTCTCTAATTCAGGAACCGTTAATGCTAGAGACCCATTCTTTTTTGCATTTTGTAGAGCATGTAAAGCCCAACACTGCAAGTGGTCTCCGTTTTTTTGTATTCCATACGGATTTCGAGTTACACTGTATCAAAAAGTACATATTGGTGGTGAAAGCAAAATGTGCAGTATGGTAATGGATAATAAATTTTGAACTCCAGAAAAATAAAACATTAGGCTTGGCAAAACAGACAACTTGTGGTCAAAAATGATATTATTTCATCGAATTTCAACATCTGGAACTTCAGAGCACCTCCCATTTCAAGAATTTTGACCAAAATGACCTTTTCTGTATTTTAATTAATTTATTAATTTAATTTAGGAAATTTATGGCACATTATTGTAACTCCAAAATTATAACATTTAGTCCCTTATATCTCCAAAACTGGCAGAGATAGGTCCATAGTTACTATTGAAGTTGAATAGGAAGTCATATACTGGCAATCTAAATGTGACCAGCTGGTGGTACAATATTCGGAGGCGGTATCGCCTCTCTGATCCTCTAGTTATGAAACATCTTTTTGTAAGTCATAATAGAAAACAATATTCTGTATGGACAAGGTTTATGCATAATTGTTTAACAAACTGTGCTGACCTAGCTAGCATCCCTAATCAAAATAAGTGAAAAAGAATAAATATGAATGCCAGTCAAGCAAATACTTTAATATTTTAGAATAAACCACAGGATGGATTCTATAAAGAAGGGAAGCATTATACAATAAACATGGATCAGATTTTGGGAGAAGGAGTACATGGGAAAGTTGTTATGGTCTATGATTTAGCAACTAAAGAACAATCAGCTCTTAAACAGGTATGTAATGCTGCAGATTTTGAGCGTTTGATGCTAATATGTTGATTTATTCATTGAAATTTTAATGGGAATCAGTTAAATTCACTCAATTTACTTGGTATGTCATGAAAGAATGGGAAAATGATGCTGCTCTTACTTAGTTATTTCTTTTTTTCTTTATATTTTATATTATTCCATATCTCAGGTAATGTTACTAGACTTCAGGGAAGAGGAGATAAGAGCTTGGGTGGCTATGGAAGATAATCCACATTTTCCAGAGCTGTACGTGCTTGAAGTAGAGGGAGACAAAGTATTATTATTTATGGAACCCTTACAGCCAAGTAAGACTTTACAGTTGTTTTAAAATCTTTGAAAATACATGTATAGATATGGAACTATTAATATGTCCAGCTAGCTATTATGAAAGTATGCATATACCTATCATGAATTAATATATCAATTTGTTTTACTTAATTAATTTATTTACTTATTTATTTATCTTAGAAATTACTTTGACTGAAGTCATAGACCAGTATTTTTCCCAGCTTCAACAACAAGGTCCAGCAGCCCAGTGGTCATTTTCCATCTTTGTGGTCAAAGGTCTACTTGAAGCCATCCAAGCTCTTCATGAAAAGGGGTACACACACAATGATCTTCACAGTGAGTTACAAAAACTTAGATAAAGCTGACAGTGAAAGTCATTGGAATATTTAGAATGTGCCAATTAAAACCACATAAATGTGTCATATATCAAGTTCAAGAAGTTAGCCATTCGACTTCCTGTCTGCACACAAATTGTACATGTATGTATTTCAAGGAATGGTCACAGTTATTGCCTTAAGATGCATTACACAGGATTTTGAAATGAAAAAATGAACATATTACAAATTACCGTTCCTTTAATGCTTATACAGTATATTAAATGACTGTATTGGTTTTGAAACTCAAGCAACAGACTACGTTATATCATTTAAGAGAGTTATATATGTGTATCTTTGACTTACATGTGTAAAAGCACAGACTGTACTATTTGCAATTTTTAGACACTTAAAATCAATTCTGCAACCATACATTAATTTGTATTATATAGGTAACTTTTATATTTTTGCAGCTGGCAACATTCTCCTTGAAGACACCAAGTCTGGTATGGAAGTCAAGGTTGTTGACCTTGGCCTTGCTCAGGTCATTCCTAATCCACTGACACCAGGCAGCAGGGCCCAGGTCATAAATGACCTGTGGAATGTCCTGAGAACTTTCATTGTACTTTGTGCTGGGTATACATTTAAATCCACTCATGACATGACAGAACACTGGAGAAATGCATTACGTTATGTAAGTTCATTATGTTGAAAAACAATGCATGGGTTTGCACAAATTGGCATTAATTCATTCTTGGTTTAGAAACATTTTGACAAACCGTGTTCATTTCAGATGCATTTCAGATTTTTGCACCTCGAAATGATTATATGCATTGAATCTTTTCTAATTCACTATTCTTTTTTTTTTATCACTGCAAAAAAATATAAGAAAATAAAAAAAACACATTGCTCTTACAAAGTTAGAGGGAAGGGGGGCTCAAAAATTAAATGACCTTCTTACAAAAATGGCATAGAACTTGGATCAAATTTTCATTCTGTTCAAAATATTAATTAACCTTAGCCTGAACTTCTTCACAATATATTTTCAAGGTTGACGAATCATTTCGTGAAGAGTTTGAGGAAATTGTTCATTTTTGCATCAACGCTGCTGTAAACTTTGCTACGGGGCTTCCAGCTGGAGAACTACTTAATAAATTGAATGAGGCTGGAGATGTAACTGAGGGTGAGTTTTTTTTTCTTTTTTATGTACAGACACAGATGTGTCTGTACATATAGCCGTCATCTGCGTCTTTCATCGCCGTCGCCGTTGGCGTGCACTTTTACCGTAAACACGATAAGTGAAAAAATATTTTACCTTTTGGCTTGAAACTTACAGAACTGATGAATATTCATAATAATGTGGTTAAGTTCGAAAATCAGCATGATCGGTTCATTTTTAGGGAAGTTATGCTTTTTTTTCACTTTTTTCAGCAGATATGCAACACCGTAAACACGATAATTGAAAAACCGTTTTACCTTTTGGCTTGAAAGGTACAGAACTGATGAATATTCATAATACGCCAGTCAAGTTCGAAAATCAGCATGATCGGGTCATTTTTAGGGAAGTTATGCTTTTTTTTTTCACTTTTTTCAGCAGACATACAACACCGTAAACACGATAAGTGAAAAAACATTTTACCTTTTGGCTTGAAACTTACAGAACTGATGAATATTCATAATACGCCGGTCAAGTTCGAAAATCAGCATAATCGGGCCATTTTTGAGAAGTTATGCTTTTTTTTCACATTTCCTCAGATTCAATTCTTAGGCATGTTAATAGTCTCATTATTGAACCAATAAGATACGTAAAAGTGTTTGTTTGACATTTCTTGCATCTTTACAACATTATTAGTTGATTATGTAAAAATGATGGTAAATTTGTTATCATGTATTGTGTAATGAAGTGTCAAAAATGGAAATAAACACATATCATTGCAGTTTGTCAGATTCCACTATCCACTATGTTCAGAGTCTCAGAATGGAGGAAATTGGACATTTAACACTGTTCTATTGATATTTTTCCCATCTCATCAATTTTCTTAGTTGGTCATATAAAAATGGCAGTAAACTGTTAATTTTGTTTTATGTTAAAAAAGTGTTAAAAATGGAAATAAACCCATTTCAGAACAGTGCTGTCTTGTTTACATTTTGGCATTTTCAAGATGTGACTTTGAAGTTCCATGGTCCTGAAGACCTTTGCTAGTCACATTTTCTGAATATCCCTGATACTTATATTTTATTATTAAAAATTGATGGTCATTATGCTGTTAAACATTATGTAATATTGCATCAAAATTTGAAGAAATACCTATTTTGGGCACTGCTCCCATGATGACCATTTAAGGAAAATCATGTCACTCACTGTTCTCAAACTTACAGGAAAGAAACATGGGACTAAAATACAGCTTCAGTAGGCAATGCAGTCTGTTTGGTAAATATTTCTGGCAATTAAACAGTTTTTTGTGAAAATTTAATTTTTCACATATTGGCATTTTCAAGGTGTGACTTTGAAGTTCCATGAGCCTGCAGACCTTTGCTAGTCACGTTTTCTGAATGTTCATGTTACTAATATTCTATTATTAAAAATTGATGGTCATTATGCTGTTATACATTATGTAATATTGCATCAAAATTTGAAGAAACCCCTATTTTGGGCACTGCTCCCATGATGACCATTTAAGAAAAACCATGTCACTTACTGTTTTCAAACTTACAGAAAAGAAACAGGGGGCTAAAATACAGCTTCAGTAGGCAATGCAGTCTGTTTGGTAANAAGTGTGTTCTTGGGAGGAAGCAAATGAAGTCTTTGAGAATGGAGAGAGAACCGTAAGGAGAAGCAGAATTGAGCAAGATGTCCTGATGCAGCTTATTGCATTTATTAAATTACTATTACTATGTTATTTTTAATTCGTATTATTTTTCAAGTTAATGGACTTTGGCCCTTTTTTTAAAAAATGAATAGAATATGCACTTTAAAGTATTTAGATGAAGATATAAATGAATGTTTTTCCTTCTTTGCTTGCTAGTTTTATTGAACCATTTAACCAATAAACTATGAATTAAACCTCTTGTATGGACCCATGAGTACAATTCTATACCTTCTGTGTGTATTTATATATGATTAATGAACTTCAAACATGACATGTTTAAAACATTATGGCTATATACTAGTATATAATGAATCTCAAAATCTGATATATCTTGGTACTAAAATTAACCCCCAGTGACTTATCTTTTACCCTATAACTATTTGTACATGTACCAGCTTTTATGTTCATATCCTGTCACTGTTTCACAGTTGGTGTGATATTTACCATAAATATCTATTTCAGAGAGAGTACTGGGTAAGGAGAAATGGTATGTAATTTGTTTTAAATTATTCTTTAATTGGAAATATATTTTTATATGTAATGGAAAAATATAATTTAATTTGGCAATTGTCTGACATTTGACTTTGTTCCATGTTGTGACATATATACATTACGAAATCAGCTGTGATAATTTTTTAAAGATTGGTCCATTTTTATGCCAGATCCTAACCAGTGTGATTCCAACCCGTGTGTCTCAGAGGGGACCAGCAGATGTGAAGATTTATTCCAAAACTATAGATGTCACTGCAGGCAAGGATACACTGGAAGCAATTGTCACATCAGTGAGTCAGAATGTCCACATGCAACTCACATCAGCTGTCATATAGCAGTTTCAAGACATTTATGTACTTATATATAAAATTCCACAATATGGGCCTACCCTTAAGAGTTGAGTTGTTGTTTTTGTTTTATTAGGAGGAGAGAGGGTGGGGGAGATTATGTATATACTGAGTATTGCAGGAACTCACAAACCCAATCTGAAAAACATTTTTATCTGTTCTCAGATATAGATGACTGTGGGACAAATTGTCTAAATGGAGCTATATGCACTGTAGGTATACAACTGTATGATATCTTTATTAATCAGAGATTTTGACAACCCATTTAAAAACCTTATTTATGAAATTGCTTTGTTTATTGTATATGCTGCAAATTAAAAGATTGTGTTTAATATTGTCATTAATGGCATACAACTTTATGTCTGTATATTAAAAGCATATATATATATACAAATAAAACTGACTTTAAAAATGAAAAGAATTCTTCTCACAATCTTACTTTCCAGGACCTGATCAATGACTATCACTGCACCTGTGTCCCAGGATTCCGAGGCACTAACTGTGAAATTAACATTAATGAGTGCCAGAGCAACCCTTGTCAAAATGGCGCCACGTGTCAGGACGGAGCAAACCGGTGGAGCTGCCAGTGTGCTCCAGGATGGACAGGTTAGTGGTCGTTTTGAATTAGCTTTAATTTCAGACTGCTGCTGTTATTTGTTTCAAATTGTTTCTAATATAGATTACATTTACCAAAAAGTGAGGGTATTAACTTGAAGACCCAGTTGGAAGCACAGGAAGCAAAGCTCAAGAACGTAATTACACGTTATAATATTTCTCAGTCCCAGTTCATACTTATTAAACAAGTATACTCTTCTATCTGACCAACAGATGAATTCACAGTAACAGTTAATGGGACAGAAGTCTGTTAGCTAGTCAAATATTTGGGTAAATCCTACCTCCTCCTTCCCAAATTGGAGTAGGGTTGGGGAGCCAGCTTGCAGCATATCCTGGCCATATACTGGACCCTTAGAGAGGAACAAAATTTACCAAATCTTATCTAGATTACTTAATCTTATGATACATCAACATAGATATATTATATGACAGTGCAAAGGTATCATTTGAGTACCATCAAACTCTGTGCTTCTGATGACTGTATGCTATCTCAATGTAATTACTATGGTAGTGTGGTGAAAATTTAAGAATTTTGCTGGCTTTGAAAATTTTGTTAGCAGATGATTTTTCTGCTGAAGATTTTTTTTCACTTTGAAAAATTACCCAAAACTAAAAAAAGAGACTTGCTTATCAGCTTTAAAATTATTTTTATCAGGTGTATCCTGCCAGTTGGACATCAATGAATGTATGTCGGCACCTTGTCTGAATGGCGGAACATGTAACAATCTGCAGAACATGTTTACCTGTGATTGTGTCCAGGGATTTGCAGGGAATGGATGTGAAATTAATGTGGATGATTGTTACCTTGATCATTGCCTGAATGGTATGGCAGTGTTTTTTAAGTATTGTTTGTCATTCGATATTCCTGAGGACGTTGATATTTATATATTTTTCAATCTCAAGATGTGTTATAATATTTTCCTGGATTTTTTTTCTTGTTTTAACAAACCACAGACCTTTGTTGGTTTATAAGCTTGGCTTTATAATTTTGCAAAAACACATTTCTTTTCAAGAAAAATTTCCTTATAATATAATCAGACAAATAAGTTCTTTATCATACTTTTTTCACAGGTGGTACTTGCATTGATTTAGTCGATGACTTCAGCTGTATCTGTCCAGCAGGATTCTCTGGTACGACATGTGAAGTCAACGTTAATGAGTGTGAGAGTTCTCCCTGCCTGAACCAAGCTACCTGTATTGATGCTGACAATGGCTTCCTGTGTGAATGTTTACCTGGTAGGTGACTCTGGTTGGTGTGTGGTCTGAATGGGAATGGATCAGAAAACCATTTTTTACGGCTGTTTTTGTTGTTATCAGATCTATTGGCATGGATGCCAACAATGGAGCACTGAAGTTAATGTCTAATGTCTAGTTTCCAGTTTTGCTTTTTAAAAATGAACCTGGCAACTAGGAACTAGTTTCATTTTTATATACAGACACTGTAATATATATAAGTGTACCAGTACTCCCTCATGCTATTCTAGCTTCCCTACAATACTAACAGTCAAGGTCACAAGAAAGTAGTCAATTTGGCTGTGCCTATTTGCTGGCCAACTCACCACATTGATAGGAAAAAAGACATTTTGGGCCATGATCGGCGGCCACCTTATTCTCAGTGCACGGCGAGGAGAGACCATAACAATAATAACACACTGCCTGGCTTCCAGGGTGAAGGTTACCAGCTGGTCACAGTTAACCCTAATCTCTGACTGCCCCTTCCTCCATCCACTCCTGTATCCATCCACTAAAATTATTCTAGTTTCTCAGCATCAGAACTTTAGATTTTGTATAACGACACTGTACATGTAGTTTCTGGTTGCCAGAATTGTTTTTGAAAAACGAAGCTAGCGTCTGATTGCCAAGTTATTTATTTATTTATTTTACTTATTTATTTATTTATTTTTTTGGAAAAGTGACACTGGGTTTTGATTGATTTAATCATACAGACATAGATCTGTGGTCTTTTTCGGCCTCTGAGTGTGGCTTCTGCGGTGAAGGCTACCTGTGCACTGCAGACACTGATCAGAAGTTGTCTTGGTCTCGGTCTCAGCACATGGCTAGGAGAAACTGTTACACACTGTACAGCTTAAGTGGTGAAAGCTGCCTGTGTGCCAAAGACATTGATGGAGGATTGACTCTTCTTTTGTCCACTTCTTTTTCTCTCCGCAAAAACAATATGGGTGTTATTCCTATATTGAGAGAAACACATATCAAACAGGAGGATTTGTTTTATTCCACATATAATATACACTAGCAGTTGCAAAGAGTAAAAACAATAATAAAAACTAATAATGAAAATACCTTTCTATCCTTACCGAGACACAATTTGAGGAATTAACATAGAAAACAAGTTGGTGTGTGATATTTTGTGAAATTTGTCTTTGTAAGGAATCACCATTGTACATGTATAACATGGTAGCCAATCAAAAGCACCACATGACTAAAATGCAGTCAGATGGGAAGAAGAAACAGCAAAGCAGCAATCAGTAACATGCTACCTTTAGTCATTGCCAACATCATTAGTCACGGCTGCCTAAAATGATATCAGTGGTGCTGAACTTTTGATGGTACCAATAGAGGTCCCATGCACTCACAAATTCCTCAGCATCAAGTAAGCCATTTGCATTCTGATCAATAGCATCAAAAATTGGTTGAATCTTGGCTGTGTTGCGAAAAATAAAAAGGAATTTGGAATACTCATCTATTGTCAACTTGCCATTGCAGTCAATATCAAACGTGCCAAACATATTTGATGAGATTTCAGCGACCTTCTCTGTTGAAATAGGAATATCTATCTCAGACTCTTGAAGAAATTCTTCCAGTGTAATGTTTGTTTTATAGTTTGTGTATTTGTTTGACCAAAAGACCCGAAAGGCATTGGAAAAAATACCATTCACTGCCATAGCTCTCCAAGATGGCAGAACTTTTTGAGCTCGTTTTGTTGTTAAACCAACATGTTCCTCTTCAGTAACGATGCCATCTTCATCAACGTCGATGATGTCAAAGAATGCTTGGTACTTGGTAGCCCAGTAGGAACTAAACTTTCGGTTGGTGTTCTAAAATATGAAGAAGAAATTATCCGTCTTTCGGAGTTGATCTCTGGCTATGATTTATATATCATATTTTGCAGGTGTATTATTTGTTTTAGATATAACATTTTCTTGCATGTATTTTGCTTGAATATTTGAAAAATATTTTTGAATTGGGTTTAAAATGGACATACAGTATGAGATGCTGTAATTGTTTTGAACTGGTGTATTATTTTTCTTAGAAATGACATTGATTATGCCAAATAAATATTGGCTTTATGAAAAATAGGTTTCTTGATGTTGAGTCACCATCCAAGAAAAAAATTCTCTAATTCAATAAAGTGAAACACACTAAAAGGTTACAGACTAGCAGAAATTTCCACCCCAACTCCCTGTACTTAAGAACCATATACCGCCTGCCTGACAATGCTGTCTTAGCTTGTTTAACTAAACCAGTGAACACTTTTCTGGACCTACCTTTAAAATACTTGAAGAATCAACAGCAAGAACAGCAACCAGTAGGAGCAGACTTATCAGCTTAATGGATGACATTATTTTAATGTCTGACTTGCCAAGATTTCTAAAACAAGGGAATCAACAGAAACAAAAATTAAACAATCAGTATGAATTATAAACTATAATTAAGTCCATTTTTAAAAGAAATAATCATGGTTCTCTTTTACACCTAATTATATACCTACCAAAAATATTAAACACATTTATAAGTAATAATAATAGTAATGCACGATAAGAAGAAAAATACACTTATTATAACTCAAATCACTTGAGTTGTACATTTAAAAGCGGAGAATTCCTAGCTGATATGAAATATTTATGCCTGGTCTTTATGGATCCCTTCAGTTGAGAATCGTTCTTATCTCAGTAGGGAAAATACAAAGCAACATGGCTCTATAAAGATATTACACATGTATTAATAGCACTACTACATGTAGCGAGAAGAGACAAAGCTAGGGTGTCATTTTCATAATAGATATAATGATAAAATATCCCCCAAATGTTATTGAAGAGTCCATGCCTTACCAGTTTTCTGTCCTACAGTTCTTAGGAGATTTGTGCCTTGACTGATGTGTGGCGTTTCTCGGAGGGTGGTGTATTTAAATACAATCACATTAAAATGTATTCCAGATAAAGTTTCTTTGTCATGCACTGTTGTCCCCTATTCCTCATGTTATCAATCCTATTTTACCTGCAGGTTTCAAAGCCCACCTTTATCTAAGAAAATGTAAGTGCCAAACTACTGGTACATGTTTATGTGTGCTTAGGCTGAGTGTGCTGAGACCAAGACTGCCAATTGATGTGTAGCTTCGGTGCACAGTTAACCTTCACTGTAGAATTGGTGCTCCATATTGCCGTTTCTTCACTCTGAGCAGGTAGGTAAAAAAAAGGCAGATCAGTGTCTATGGTGCACAGGTAGCACTCACTGTGGAAACTGTGCTGACTATTACAGTCTCCCTACAGCGTGAGGGGAGACCAACAGGCCCGTAGCCAGGGGGGGTTCAGGAGGTTCGAAAGATCTGCCCCTTTTGTCAGGAAAAGGTCCATTCTGGGTAAAATTTTATCTAGGTACACATAAGTTTCATTGTAAAACCCCCCTTTTGAATTTGCTGGCTACAGGCCTGACCAATATGGTTGCCAATCATTGTTTGCAAATTAATAGCCTAGGCTGGGGGAGAGATTTAAGACCCCAGGGTGTCTCACTAGGCTGGGGGAGAGATTTAAGACTCCTGGGTGTCTCACTAGGCTGGGAGAGAGATTTAAGACCCCAGGGTGTCTCACTAGGCTGGGGGAGAGATTTAAGACCCCAGGCTGTCTCACTAGGTTTGGAGAGAGATTTAAGACCCCAGACACCCCCGGCAAGACATATAGGCAGCCCCCCCCCTGACACCCCCCTAAATCTGCCTCTGTAGCATCAGAACTGACTTTGTAAAATGACACTAGTTTCTGGTTGCCAGAATTGATTTTTTTTAAACGAAGGTATAGTTTCTGGTTGCNGAGTCCATGCCTTACCAGTTTTCTGTCCTACAGTTCTTAGGAGATTTGTGCCTTGACTGATGTGTGGCGTTTCTCGGAGGGTGGTGTATTTAAATACAATCACATTAAAATGTATTGCAGATAAAGTTTCCCATGTCACGTATTCTTGTCCCCTATTCCTTATGTTATCAATCCTATTTTACCTGCAGGTTTCAAAGCCCACCTTTATCTAAGAAAATGTAAGTGCCAAACTACTGGTACATGTTTATGTGTGCTGAGGCTGAGTGTGCTGAGACCGAGACTGCCAGTTGATGTATAGCTTCGGTGCACAGTTAACCTTCACTGTAGAATTGGTGCTCCATATTGCCGTTTCTTCACTCTGAGCAGGTAGGTAAAAAAAAGGCAGATCAGTGTCTATGGTGCACAGGTAGCACTCACTGTGGAAACTGTGCTGACTATTACAGCCTCTCTCCAGCATGAGGGGAGACCAACAGGCCCGTAGCCAGGGGGGGTTCAGGGGGTTCGAAAGAACTGCCCCTTTTGTCAGGAAAAGGTCCATCTTGGGTAAAATTTTATCTAGGTACACATAAGTTTCATTGTAAAACCCCCCTTTTGAATTTGCTGGCTACAGGCCTGACCAATATGGTTGCCAATCATTGTTTGCAAATTAATAGCCTAGGCTGGGGGAGAGATTTAAGACCCCAGGGTGTCTCACTAGGCTGGGGGAGAGATTTAAGACTCCTGGGTGTCTCACTAGGCTGGGAGAGAGATTTAAGACCCCAGGGTGTCTCACTAGGCTGGGGGAGAGATTTAAGACCCCAGGCTGTCTCACTAGGTTTGGAGAGAGATTTAAGACCCCAGACACCCCCGGCAAGACATATAGGCAGCCCCCCCCCTGACACCCCCCTAAATCTGCCTCTGTAGCATCAGAACTGACTTTGTAAAATGACACTAGTTTCTGGTTGCCAGAATTGTTTTTTTTAAAACGAAGGTATAGTTTCTGGTTGCCAAGTTTGTTTTTGTGAAAAAGGACACTGGTTATTGGTTGATTTAATCATAGAGACTGGTCTGTAGTCTCTTCTGCCTCTGTGTGTGGTGGAGAGAGGCCGTAATATTGAGCATGGCCTATAGACAGTGAAGGCTACAATTTAATGCAGACACTGATCAGAGGTTGTCTCAGTCTCAGCCTCAGCGCATGGCAAGATAAAACTGTTACACACTGCACAGCTTCAGAGGTGAAAGCTTCCTTTGTGCCGTAGACATTGATGGACAATTGACCCTTTTTCTGTCCTCTCCTTTTTCTCTAAACAAAAACAATTTGGGTGTTATTCCTATATTGAGAGAAACACATATCAAACACTAGGATATGTTTTATTCCACATATGATATACACAGCTGTAAAGAGTAAAGACAATTATGATAAAAAACTAACACTGAATACTGCCCTCATTACCGATCCTTACCATATGACACAATTTGAGGAAAAACATGGAAAACAAGTTAGTTTGTGATATTTTGTGAAATTTGTCTTTGTAAGGAATCACCATTGTGTAACATGGTAGCCAATGGGTATCTCAAGTACCACATGACTAAAATGCAGTCAGATGGGAAGAAGAAACAGTAAAGCAGCAATCAGTAACATGCTACCATATTAGACATTGCCAACATCATTAGGCACGGCTACCAAAAATGATATCAGTGGTACTGAAATTTTGATGGTACCAATAGAGGTCCCATGCACTAATAAATTCCTCTGCATCAAGGAAGCCATTTGCATTTTGATCAATTGCATCAAATATTGGTTGAATCTCAGCTGCGTTGCGAAAAACAAAAAGGAATTTGGAATACTCATCTACTGTCCACTTGCCATCGCAGTCAATATCAAACGTGCCAAACAAATCTGATGTGAGTTCAGGAACCTCCTTGATTGTAATAGGAATGTCTATCTCAGACTCTTGAAGAAATTCTTCCAATGTAATGTTTGTTTTATAGTTTGTGTGTTTGTTTGACCACCAGACCCGAAAGGCATTGGAATACATACCATTCATTGCCAAAGCTCTCCAAGATGGCAGAACTTTTTGAGCTCGTTTTGTTGTTAAACCAACATATTCCTCTTCAGTAACGATGCCATCTTCATCAACGTCAATGATATCAAAGAATGCTTTGTACTTAGTAACCCAGTAGGAACTAAAGTTTCGGTTGGTGTTCTGAAATATGAAGAAATGATCCGTCTTTCATATTAGGAGTTGATCTCTGGTTGGGATATATATTTTATATTTTGCAGGTTTATTATTTGTTTTAGATATGACATTTTCTTACATGTATTTTGTTTGAATATTTGAAAACTATTTTTGAATAGGGTTTAAAATGGACATACAGTATGAGATGCTGTAATTGTTTTGAACAGGTGAATTATTTTTCTTAGAAATGACATTGATTATGCCAAATAAAAATTGGCTTTATGAAAAATTGGTTTCTTGATGTTGAGTCACCATCCAAGAAATAAAATCCTCTAATTCAATGAAGTGAAACACACTGAAAGGTCCCAGACCAGCAGAAAATTCCACCCCAACTCCCTGTACTTAAGAACCATATACTGCCTGCCTGACAATGTTGTCTTAGCTTGTTTAACTAAACCAGTGAACACTTTTCTGGACCTACCTTCAAAACACTTGAAGAATCAACAAGAACAGCAAACAGTAGGAGCAGACTGATCAGCTTAATGGATACCATTATTTTAAAGTCTGACTTGCCAAGATTTCTAAAACAAGGGAATGAACAGAAACAAAAAGTAAACAACCAGTATTAGATATAAACCAATAAGGTCCATTTTTAAAGAGATAATCAGGGTTATAAGGGTTATTTATAAGTAATAATAATAATAATGATAAGAAGAAGAAGAATACATTTATTATAACTCAAATCACTTGAGTTGTACATTTAAAAGTGGAGAATTCCTAGCTGATATTGAACATTTATGCCTGGTCTTTATGGATCTCTTCAGTCCTGAATCAGTCTTATCTCAGTAGGGCAAATACAAAGCAATGTGGCTCTACAAAGCTGTTACACATGTAGCTCTCGGTCTTATAGACTACAGTCAAAGTACTACTACATGTAGCGAGAAGACACAAAGCTAGGGTGCCATTTTCATAATAGATATAATGATAAAATATCCCCCAAATGTTATTGAACAGTCCATGCCTTACCAGTTTTCTGTCCTACAGTTCTTAGGAGATTTAATTGTGCCTTGACTGATGTGTGGAGTTTCAAGGAGGGTGGTTTATTTAAATACACAATCACATTTCAGTGTATTCCAGATAAAGTTGCTTCGTCACGTACGCGTGTCCCCTATTCCTCATGTTATCAATCCTATTTTACCAGCAGGTTTCAAAGCCCACCTTTATGTAATAAAATGTAAGCACCAAACTACATGTTCATATGGGCCGAGACCGAGTGTGCTGAGACCGAGATGTCCGCCAGTTGATTTGTAGCTTCGGTGCACAGTATAAGCCTTCACTTCAGAATTGGTGCTCCATATTGCGGTCTGTCCCCTCTAAGCGGTGAGGCAAAAAAAAAAAAAAAAAAGGCAGATTATTGTCTATGGCGCACAGGTAGCACTTGCTGTGGAAACCATGTTGACTATATTACAATCTCAGTGTGCGAGGAGGCCAATATGGTTGCCAATCATTGTTTGCAATTTAATATTCTAGGATGGGGAACAGATTTAAGACATCAAGGTGTCTCACCTTGCTGTAGGATGGACAGAGTTTGAATTTATTTTATTTAAAAAAAAAAAAGAAAGGAAAAAAAAAACGATTCTGGCAACTAGCAATGTAGTGTTGTGTTTTAAACATGAACCTGGCAACTAAAAACTATAGGGTCTTTTTTCAAATACGATTCTGATGCTGAGGATCGTTTAATCATTTTTGTTGGGGGGAAAAAGGGGTGGATGGAGGAAAGAGCAACTGCCAATTGATGTCTACCACAACCAGGTCACTTTCACCATGGAAGCCAGGCTGTGAATTATGGTCTCTTGATGGGAGGCCAAAATGACCAACGATTGATGTCAACAGTCCACAGGTAGCCTTCACCACGCAAGCTGGGCAGGGTGTTGCTGTCTCTCTGCCCCATACACTGTCACCTAGACAATTGCCTATTGATGTCCCCTGCCTTGAGGGAAGCTAGAGTGTCTCTTTGTTGTTTGGGATATAATTTTTTATTTAACTGAATTTTAAAAAATGATTCTGGTCCCCGAAACCAGTGTTTTTTTGTGTACAGACACAGATGTGTCTGTACATATAGCCGTCACCTGCGTCTGTCGTCGCCGTTGCCGGTGCCGTTGGCGTGCACTTTTACCGTAAACACGATAAGTGGAAAACGGTTTTACGTTTTGGCTTGAAACTTACAGAACTGATGAATATTCATAATATTCAGCTCAAGTTCGAAAATCAGTATGATCGGGCCATTTTTAGTGAAGTTATGCTGTTTTTTCACTTTTTTCAGCATATATGCATTGCCGTAAACACGATAAATGGAAAACGGGTTTACCTTTTGGTTTGAAACTTACAGAACTGATGAATATTCATAATACGCAGGTCAAGTTCGAAATTCAGCATGATTGGGTCATTTTTAGGGAAGTTATGTATTTTTTTCACTTTTTTCAATGTATATGCAACACCGTAAACATGATAAGTGAGAAACCGTTTTACCTTTTGACTTGAAACTTACAGAACTGATGAATATTCATAATATGCAGGTCAAGTTCAAAAATTGGCTTGATTGGACTATTTTTACAAAAGTTATGCTGTTTTTTCCTTTATTCAGCATACATGCAACACTGATAACGCATTTTAAGGAAAACTAATCAGCCTTTTGTCTTGCAACTCAAAGGAGTGATCAATCTGACCAGTATACAGATCAAGTTTGAAAATAAGCTTGATCAGTTAAGATTTGATGAAGTTATTAGACTTTTTGTATATAAGTGGTTTTTCTTCAGATTTAATTCTTAGGCATGTTAACAGTCTCATTATGGAAATAATTAGATATGTAAAAGTGTTATTTTGACATTTTCTGCTTCTTAACAATATTGTTAGTTGATTATATAAAAATGATGGTAAACCTATTATCGTGCATTGTGTAATATCAAAAATGGAAAGGAACTCATCATTGCAGTTCGTCAGATTCAATCATTCACTATGTTCAGAATCTCCGAATGGAGCAAATTGGACATTTAAAATTGTTCTACTGATATTTTTCCTATGTCAACAATTTTCCTAGTTGATCATTTAAAAATGACAGTAAATTGATTATTTTGTTTTATGTAAAAAAGGTGTTGAAAATGGAAAGAAAATCATTTCAGTACAGTTATCTCTTGTTTACATTTTGGCATTTTGAAAGTTTGACTCTGAACTTCCATGGCCTTGGAGAACTTTCCATATCACATTTTCTGAATATCCATGATACTTTTATTTTTTTTATAAAAAATTGATGCTCATTATGCTGTTAAGTATTATGTTATATTGCATGAAAGTTGAAGAAAACCCTATTTTGGACACTGCTGCCAGGATAGCGATTAAGGGAAAACCATATGTTACTTAATATACTCAAACTTACTGAAAAGTTTCATAAGACAGTAGTGCAGCTTGTGTTGGAAAACCAGTGTGATTGTCTTCTGTTTTGGAAGCAATGCAGTTCTATAGAGTGCTATATGGTGCAATAAATGTATATGGATAGCAGGCAGTATGCTAATTCAGGGTTATAAAGTAATTTGCTTACTTAATTTTCAAGTTATTTCAGGGTTATAAAGTAATTTGCTTAATTAATTTTCAAGTGGCCATTAAATGAGATTACATAAAACACACATTGAGATTTCATTGTAAAGTCCCATAGGTTTAGCTCTTTTAACTGTGTCACATAATTAGGAATCGATGATTATTATGCAGGTAAATGTTATTTAATATTGAAAATAATTTTACAAAAGAAAAATTTTGTGTAACGCTTACATTAATGCTAAAGAGGAATAACAGTGCATTACTATTCTCAAACTCAATAGGGTTATTCATATCATGTTAGTAATTATACAGCTAGATTAAAAGTTTGAATAGCAGCTTTATTGGAATTTTTTGTTATGATTTATTTTACATTTTCTTTTAATTATTTTTCAAACACTAGCATCTTCAAGATGTCACTTTCAACTCCCATCCACCAGAAGCGCTGTGCATTTTCTGTTTTTCCACATTAGCAGTTGTGTCATCATTTTTCACATCTTGGGATTTTCATTATGTGAATTTGAACTCTCACATATGGTCCTGAAACTGTTATCTTATTGACCATGTTATTCTGTTTTGTATATTTTTTTGAAATTTTTATCTTTCACTTACTGGCATTTTCAGTGTGGGACTTATAACTCCCAAGGGCAAGTAACAGTTCACTTTTATTGATACTTCCTGTTGTGCAATATTTGCAACTTGACTCTGCAGTTAAAGGGATAATAACTGTTCTTTTTGGCAAATAATCCAAACCTTTTTTTTTTTTAAATTTATTATTATTTTTATTTTATTTTATTTTATTTTATTTTATTTTAGCTTTCAGCTTTTTCCTTTCACAGGTGTCGAGCAAAGAGTAAACGATACATCAATTATAAGAGGTGCAATCACTGAGCTAAAAATGTAGCAAAAATGTTGCTAAAACATGCCAAACAGTTGCTGTAAATAGAACTACTTTGTTGTGTATATACATATTCCTATAACCCTAGCGCACACTACAACCTTATCACTCTACGTAGTGATATCTTGAATAAAGTTAGTTTGGCAAGCACATGGTGTCTTGAGTTGATAACACTCATAAACAGTTGCAAGTGTTGCACAGGGTAAACAATGTATCAGTGTAAGAGATTCAATTACTTTGTTAGAAACGTAGCAAGCATGTTGGTAAAATCATGCCAACGAGTTGCACTCTTTGCCTAGCCAGGTCAGCCCCAATCTTTGCTAAACTTTTTCACAAACAACAAAAAGCACACTCCCTCACCCTCCCTATTACCTCCCCATTCCCATCCCTTCCCCTACACACAAAAAAACAATTCTTGCAACTAAGTGTCAGAAATGTTTATTTCTTAATACAACATTAGTTTTTTGTTGCCAGAATTGTTTTTTAAATAAAATGAATTCCGCCTACAGCAAGGCAAGACGGGGCCATAGCAACAGTCTGAAGGTTCATTGGTTGGAATGTTCACTATAGAACCTTCGGACCAATGAACCCTTGATTAAAAAACTGATGAAAACTCTACCATTTTTCTGACCAATGAACCTTCGGACTAATGAACCTTTGGTATATTGAGATGCCCCCAGCAAGACATGGGCAGGACCCCTCTGACACACCCCCTATATATGCCTCTGTAGCGTCACAACTGATTTTGTAAAATGACATTAGTTTCTGGTTCCCAGAATTGTTTTTTTTTTAACAAAGCTAGTTTCTGGTTGCTAAGTTTGTTTTCGAAAAAGGACACTGGTTTTTGGTTGATTTAATCATAGACACTGATCAACAGTCTTTTCGGCCTCTGCGTGTGGCGGCAAGAGGCCGTAATATTGGAAGGCTACCTGTATGCAGATGCTGATCAGAGGTTGTCTCAGCCTCAGTGCATGGCAAGGAGATACTCTAACATCCAGCATGTACAGCTTAAGCTGGGAAAGCTGCCTGTGTGCCGTACACACTGATCACCTGTCGCCCCTTCTTCT